AACAGCTTGTCAGAAGGTGAATGACCTGGTGACAATTGGAGCGCAATCAGGTGTAAGATTGTTAAATACCAAAAATGGTTGGGTATTCGCAGCCGCTACACTGCAGACCGGAAATTAATCTTTGGCTCCATCGATTTTTTTGAGCGTAGTCGGAAAACGTCGTGCCTAAGGACAACCTCTGAACAGAGGTCATCTCACACAGTTTGATATTTGTGTGACAACACTTCCTATACAATAAATAAAAGCAGTGTCCGTGGTGAGCTCGTTAGGTTCATCGAAGCCATGGATGTAGCACGGCTAGAGTTTTCGACCTTCCATTTATGTTTTCATACAACAGCCTTCGATATTTTAACTGGCAGAACTGTCAGTGTCAATGAGAGCCTGAAGAGATACTGTTTACAGAAAACAGAATAACTGCGTTGGGCAGACATGATGGAGCAGCAGCAGCAAGAGTGATAGAGGATATCAGAGAGTTGTCAACAGATGATACATTTGGGTTTCGCTTGATTCGACAAACCTGGTGCTGTCCCTTTTTCAGCAAGACTTGCAGATCGCATCTTTAGGTGGACATTTGAAACGAGGATTCTTGGAATATCCGCAGAAGAAACAGCAGCTATACTGTCTTCCTGTGGACAGAGTTGTGAGGCATCGAGTTCGATGTAGATTCATTTCGTGATCTGGGATCAACGACTGAATCCCTGCAAGCGGAATTGGCGAAAAGCGTTGAACTGTTGATATATCTAGGGTTTTAGCCTGCTCCTAGGCTGTTTCTAGGTGGTGTCCGATTTTCCAAGAGGCGCTGGCGGATGCTACTGGACTGCATTCCGCTGATAAAAGCATCTCGTATGGCGTTGTTTTGGGCCATGACAGCTATAATGTTGTAGTATTTTGCAAGTGATTGCAGCTTCTTCAAGAACTGATCGAAACTGACCTGCCTCCTGTTTGCTGGTAGCGAGTATGCCAGACAAAATCCTCGTTTCAAATGGGAATTCGTCGTGTATACAGTAAATGAAGCGTGAACTGAAAAGCTAGGAAACACTGGACAGTTAGTTCGATGGATTCGCACTGCTGAAGAGATCCAACCAGGCCGAAACAGCTGTCCAGTGCTTCCTAGCTTTTCAGTTCACGCTTCATTTGCTACATACACGACGAATTCCCATTTGAAATTTAACTAAATCTAGTTAGTATTGACCATGTGTGTGTGTAATTGTGTACAGTGTGTGTGATGCACGTGATTGGTTACGACCAGGGAAGGCCAAGGGTGAAGGTCATACGTTTTTGGATGCACTTCGGCCATCGCACGTCACTTGGTTGAAAGCGGCCATAGGGTAAACCTTACGAACGCGTTCACGGTTTTGGTACGTCATCGAGACAAACACCGACTAAGGATACTTGAGGCATTATCGATCGTTTACAACAAACTCACACTGTGCATCCAAAAACGTATGACCTTCACCCTTGGTCTTCCCTGGCTGTAACCAATCACGTGCATCGCACACACACGCATACACACACACATGGTGAACACTAA